CTCTGCACCCATATCTGCAAAACGAATGATCATCTTATGAAAAAGCATAGTTAGCAATTAGCAATTTAATTTAACTAGCAAACATGTGAAGGAGCAGTTACCTTTTACAAAAAGGACACGATCATTAAATCGTGTAACAAGTCGATCAAATAGTTCCAAATTCTTCATTAAGTTGTCGTCCGACTGAGAAGTATAGGAATATTTGTTGTTATGCCGATTAATTAGAAGCTTTATAACGGGCTAAAATCAAAAACTTATGCAAGATAGACTATTTAGAAATTATATACTTGATATGAAATAATCCGAAAGCTTCCAGATGATCAATGCTTTCCTAATATGCAATCCAATGAAGTGAATGAACTTCTCATCTGGTCTCTACGCTAGATTATATTTCGAAAAAATATTAGTACATATATAGCACGACTGCTCGTCATTTTACTGCAGTATGTTCATTGGTGGTCGCACAAGTGTGTATGTTTTCTCATAATGTAGAACAACGGAGATTCAAATACCTTCTCTTATTTAACTGACAAACAGTTAGTTTTTTTTTTTTTTTTTTTTAAGCTTTGCTTGGACATCTCAAGCAGCATTTTCCGATGGATTTGCACATCATCTAACTGCTGAAATTATTAGGCATTTAAATGGAGGACTAAGCAGATAAACCATTACCAAACTTCACTTTTATAGAAGGAATAAGTTGAGTACCGAAGTATTTTATTCATCCACAAAAGCAATGGAAACAGAACCTTTGTGGTACTAGTTACAATACGATCACAATCCTTTTTAGTATTAATAAGCGGGACTTTGCAGATACCGGCTGGTTCGACGTCTTCCTTTGTTATCACTTTTAACCAATTTTGGCACAATTGCACTAAGTCCTATAAACAATTGCATCATAAATTAAAAAACATAAATCTTAAAAACCCTCTTCTGCAATGAATTACTAATAAATGGCAAAAGCTCAATCTTACCTGAATAAGGTAATATTTCGCTTCAGCCAGTATTTCAGCTGTTTCAACGCGACATTCCGGTAATGGAACATAACCATCTCTTAAAAAATTTAAAATCGTACCAAAATGCTTTCCATTACGATCAATCAGCACCCAACCATCACTATCGGTTAGAATCTGAAATATCACAACATCATTCAAATCATCGTATCAACTGATTATTTATTACATTAATTTCTTGTTTTTTTAGCAGCAAAGTGGTAAAACAATAAAAAGTACTTCACATCAGCAAAGTTTGCCTAAGTACTTATAGAAATTTAGAACTTGAACTGTAAATGATGAAGACTTAAAAGGAATTAAAAGTGGTTAATATCAGTTATTCTATCAAAAAATTAAAGAAGTGATATCAAACATGAAAAAACAAACCTCCATCCGGCCAGAAAACATAGCCCGTAGCATGGAATCATGTTTGGTCAAAGTACATATTGTTGTTTGATACAATGCACCGCCGACATTTAATTTGATATATTGAGAAGGTGATCCAGCCAACGCTAATAATCGTCCGTCAACTCCATCCAGATCTGCTACTTCGCTACCCATTCAATCAATTATCGTATAATTCCTTGAATGAAACATATTCAAAATAATAATCAGAAGTATCCAGAATGACAAGTCTTTGTTGCGAATCGTTCCATAAATTGTAAGCATTGGAAGTTATCCGAGTTAATGCAGCTAACTGAACCAAAAAGTCTTAGCAAAAGCAAATCATTAATTGTAAAAGTTAATTATTAGCAAAAGTAAAGTAGAAAAGAAACACTGATATCATAACGTTAACATTTCATAGAAATCCCTACCAAAAACCCCGACTATTACCGGACCTTATCCCTGTCTATCTTCGGACCGACATATGGAATTCATAGAAGCTGACCTTTGACATCGTCTCTTTATGAAAATTCCTTATCTCCATCAATTATTTTTTTGCTATTTATATAGATAATCATTTTGTAGCATTGATATGATGCTATGATAATGATTTTTGCTAAATATATTATTACTATGACATTGACATTTTGGATGAATGATTCAAAAAATAGAAAAAAACTTTTGAAAATATTAACGATTTATCAGTACTGAGAATGTTGACGTCGTAGAAGCTGACCTTTGACATCGATTATGAAAATGTTAACAGTTTATCAGTAATGAGAATGTTAGCTTTGTAGAAGCTGATTTTTGATAAAATGCTTTTTGCTGCATATACTACCATTAAAAGTTAAGTACTAATAAGCGGATGTGAGTAAAACTTTCTAAAAATTTGAATAAATAATTGTAAAATATGAACGTACATTTTACAACACAGAAGTATCACTTTCAACTTATATCCTTCATGCATCTTCCTTCCACTTTATGCATCTGTTATGATATTGATAATAGGTACATACCTATCAGAATGCTTATCATGATATTGATAACAGGTACATACCTATCAGAATGCTTATCAAACCGTTTTTGAAATATTTAATTTATGATTTTGCTGAATTTTTCATTTATAATTTTATAATATATTATTTAATTATAATATATTACTTAATTTATAACATATTACTTAATTTTTATAATATATTACTTAATTAGTTTCATTAACTTTGATAACATTTTATACTTTTCGTTTATTATCAAGCATTAATGTGAATATGAATATACTTGAGAATATATATGAATATACTTGAATATGAATATACTTGAGGATGAAATAAATAAAATTACGCCATGGAATTGATAAGTAATAGAATTTTAATTTTTCCATAACAATCAAATGTGACAAATAAATGAATTTATAAATTAATTGAAATAATTTATTAATTACAAATATTTTTCATTTTCAATTTTAATTTTTAATTTCCAAAATATCATTTTACATAAAATAGGAAATAATATTACGATAAACAGAGTTATATAATAGGATAATATTAACATAAATTTGACAATTGTTTTATTTTTTTACAGTGCGGTTGTTTAAATAATGGTTAGATTAAAAATGCTGTTAAATTTGAGAACTGTTTCCTGGAATAGTCTAAATTTTAATTTTCAATAAAATTAATTAACGAATTAATTAATTCATTAATTGATCGACTAACATAAGTTTTTTACCTGAATTATTTCAATCAATTCATTAATTAATTCACTAATCAACAAATGGATTACTTATACTTATAAGAATATTCATTCCTAAACTATCAATTGCTTCACTCCTACACTAACATAATCGTTATCATAATCTAGCCATTACTCATACATTTGTTATCATCGATCATCTATCTCATTTTATGCTTTTGATTTTAGCATCAATTCATGCATGAATCATCATTTAATGAAGCATCAAGTAAAAATGAATTAATGTTTGTCATTGCTGTCACATCAACAATTCTAGCATTCATGGCATTGATGATCAATATATGCACCTATGGATATATAATGTTGAAAGTAAGAAATAAATCATTTCTCTCTATTCCATTTTATATTTGTCAACACTTGTCTTGTTGATATCAGATATGATAAGATAAGCTGTTGCAAAAATGTTGGACAATTTTCTCCTTGGTTTGTTTTATTGGTTGATAACGATAAATGTTTTAAGCAAAAAACTTCTTGTAATTTAAAAATTCTTAAACATAATAGAAGTGATATTAGCAAATAATAAAGAATAGAATCGATCATTAGGTTAATTTGTAAGTCATTGTAGAAAAATATTTGTGAAGATTTTAGATGATGCTATTTGTTAAGAAATGATAAGGATGAAAGTTAACCATTGTAATGAGATGATAAGATTCAATGAATAATTTTTAATCAGAGAATGATTTCTATTCATTCATCTTAGCTCTTTATAGAATGAGAGTTACATCCTTATCATCATTATCTGTTATTATAATATTTTATTTACAAAAAAAAAAACTAACAAGAATTACATCCTTATCATCCTTATCTCTTATCACTAAGTTTATAAGGAACGGTTTACAATATTTAATCATTCTAAATCATCTAAAAATATTTTAAATAAAATCTTTTATATTATAAAATTTTATGTTATGAATCTACCACAATTATTCCAAGTTATTTCAATTATGTAAAAATACTTTAATTATTTCCGTCTATTATTTTTGTTCCTTCTAACATAAGTCTATTCATCGGCTAATTAAGCTAGCCAAGTTTTATCATGATAATTAGAATGATACCTCTTCTTTCTTCTTTTTTGCTTCCATCTCATTTTTATACCTAAATTATATACATATCAAGATTTTTGTGAGATATAAAAATTAAAATTTATCAGAAAAAAAAAATTAAAGTACAATCAACTACTGCGATCGATTTGACATACCACCTGTATAAAGTATAAAATATATAAATATATAAGTATAAATGATATACTTACTATATCCGGTAACATTTATTATCAGCAATCTCTCTCTTCTTCCATATCAGAAAAAAAAAGTGGAAACGAGAAAATTGAATTCTCGAAAATATTTTTAACACATTTACTTCCTACAATTCACTAATTTATTGAATTTCAAATAAATATTAAATAAAATTCAAATAATATTTCTAATAATAAATAAATTCAAATAAATATTTCTTTAAATTAAAATAAATATTTCAAATATTAAATTTAAATTCAAATAAATACTTCTTAATTTATGATTCGAAATAATTTTACAAATTTAAACGAATTATTGTATTATTATTTGAATATTTGTTTTGTTTTTTCTTTTTTAAGGTTTATCGAAGTATGTTATTATTTCGAGAAAAACAATTCTAGCAGAACAATCACTATCACGACGGCGTTTTGCTGATAATCTGCTAGGGAAAATGACTAAAGCTACGGATTTTGATTTTGTAACATATCAAAATGAAATAAATTTATTAGCAAAATAAATAAAGTGAAATATTTTCGATGTTTATTTGATTTTAAATTTTAAATTTAATTGCAAAATAAGCAAAAATTTTAGCATTCTTTATTACTATCAAATAAAATTATGCACAAATTATAAACAACAAAAACATTTAATCAAAAAAAAAAAATAAGCAATTAACCTACTAAATCAATTTAATTAAATGATTTAATGATTGATATCTAATAAGCTTTGACAAATCATACAACCAACATAAATTACGCATATCCCCCCTAATAGATGATTATATCACAATGAATAATTTTATACATAATGATGTCGTGCCGTAATACGATCAACAAAATCCTCATCACCACTTGAATCACGCCGATGTCCCACTGGTGTTGTAAATGATACGACTGAAAAAGATATGATATGTTAGAAATTTTGGAATTTTCAAATTTAACAATCTCTTTCAAAATCTAATTCGATTATTCAACCAACATTAATATATTGATAGCTGAATAATCGCTCAATTAATTCTTTGATCTTTTTTTGACATCAAAAATTGAAGCTTCTATTCTGGTGATGGAACATTTGCGCATTGCCTGAATTCCTACTATTTGTAAGATAGATATTGGAAAGTAATTAATCACCTTTTGGTTTTTCTGATTCTGAAGGCATACGAAGTGGTTCCTCCAAACTTGATGGAAGTACGAGAGTTTCCAATTTTGGTTGCCTATAAAGTTTAAAGGATTGCTTTTTTTTTTTTAAAACAATAATTTATTCTTGCAAACTATCACTGGAGCATTTATTTATGAAATCATATCGAGTATGCAAATTTTCTCAAAGATTTCAAAATTAACAATTCCAGTATTAACAGGAATAACTTTTCGGATTTAAAATTTTCTAAATTACTTTAAGAGGTAAGCATTGTTAGTAGTTAAACATTTAACCAGCGGAATAAATTAAACGAAACAGTCGAGCAACTTTCCGCATCCGGAATCTTTTCCGCTGCTAATCTGACGCATTGTCAAAATCGATATACGAAGGAGTAAAACTTCTTAACTTTTGTCGCATGGTTTACCTTTTTTCGATATTTGGTGAATTTTGATGTTTCGAAAACAACGGTAAATCATGCAATTCCACAACTGTACGTTTTTCTGAATCTAAAATGTTTCTCAAAAATTAGAACCTTCCCGAAACGTTTTTTTCAAAACCTTAAAAAAAACAAACATCAGATTTTAATCATCGAAAAATGTCTACCTTTTCTCTTTTTAAAATAAAAAAAAAGTAAGAAAAGAGAGGAATTTGATAAATTAAAATTAAATGATTAAATGCTTCAAAAACTTGTTATCATTATCAGCAATAATGAAAATAAACTACGGAAATTACGCAGAAAAAAAAATCAGCAAATATTACAACCCTATCTATCATCCTTATCTTATCATAAGTTTATTGCTTGATAATTTTTGTAATGAATTCCGAGCTATAACTATATCAGATTAGATAATTTGATAAAGTAAACGAAAATAAAACATTAATTCGAAATTGTTTGAAATTTATTTTTGTCATTTTCCATTTCGCAATTATTTCATTCGTAGTTTGAAATTTAAATTTATTTATCATTTTATATTTATCATTAAGTACACAGAGGATTAATTAAGCTATTTTATTTTAGTTTATATATATTTTTATCCTTTACATGTTGATAGAATTATAATGAATGTTTCATTAAAATTTTGCATTTAAATCCTTTTAACATTAGTTTATATGGATATTTTTTATTTGATGCTATTGAATAGTTAGTTATACTTAATAAAATTGTCAACTAAAATTAGAAGTTAATTAAAATTAAATAGTATTGTTGTTAAATAAATGTAATGCTAACCAATGGAATGAGTTTGTGCTGCATTTGTAGTTGATGAAGATATCACATGTGAATTGTCATCTTCTGTACCTTCAACGATTGTCCTTTCAGGTATTGTTTCTAGAAATTCCTTTCCTCAGTTATATTGATTCCCAGATGATCTATTGTGCACATTGCTAGAGCAACAATAAAGATTAAAAACTAAATAAAAAAAAAAAATAAGATAAATAATTTCAAAATTTCACATATAACCTATATCATTTTTTCTTAAAATTTAATTTTATAAATTTCGAAATAAAAAAAAGAAAAAAAAGTTTCGTATTAAAGAATTATATGAGGAAAACCTTTATGTTGTACTGAAGAAGCTATTCGATTTAATTTTGTAATTGTTATCGTTGATAAGCGTCTTGAATCATTAGCATTTGATCGTGTATTTGAATGACGATATCCAACGGTACTTTGTGAACTACCCGAATCACTGTGAAGTTCTGTGATCGTTGGTGTATGAGATCGTGCAATTTCTAATTGGAATATTTCAAATAATTTTTGAAATAAAATTATTCAATGATCGTACGGATTGATGAATAATTATGATGTTGTCCTCCAAAATTAAGGCTTTGACAAAGTGTGATTTCAAATTATTGGAAAGTTTTCCGTATTTATAAAAAATAAATATATACAAAAAAAAATTTAACTAATTGAATTGAATGGTTAGAATAAAATATAGATTATGTAAGCATACCAAAAGCTCTCATCGAAAAGTCTTCCTTCATCATCTGTAACTCATGTGACAATTCCGCTAACAATGAACCATATCCACGAATACCATATCCTGATGCACCACCTAATAGTTGTAGGCGTTTTTTAAATTCTACTTGCCATGCAGCTTCTTGTTCATTTGAAACTTTTTGCGCTATCTGCAATTTTACGCCCAAATAAGCATTTAACAGAAAAAAAAATAAAAAATTCCATGCAAAAATTTTATAAAATCTTTACTTCTGTTTGAGAAATGAAATTTTATAATCGATTTTCAAATTGAAATTTTATTTTATCATTTTGAAAAAAAATTGTTAATAATCGAAATGATTGGCCTCAATAAATTTGGTAAATAATTTCTGATAAATAATTGATTGGGAAGTGAAAGGTAAAAAGGAAAAAAGTATAAGAAAAAAAATTAAATATGATGGTTTTTTTTTTGAAAAATATATGATTTGAAAAGGTGTAACTATTAATTTAAGTAATAGATTCAAGTTTAACTTTCCACTAATTAATAACAATTAGCATTAATGATATAATCGAAATTTATTTGCACTTAATGTTGCATAGTATATTCCAACATATCACACTAATTAATTTAATGAAATAATTAAAATACTTTGCTTTGTAGGAATGGTAGAATGATAAGTGATATTGGCAAATTGATATCAACCATAAAATCAATAAATGAATATAATGATGTGCCACCAATTTTTTTACCAATCAAATCACGAATCACTTTAAATACCCGTGGCCATAATAATGTCATTTGCTTCTCGAATGTTATTATCATCACTTTGAGAGCTAGAGAAAAGAAAAATTAATTTAATTTGAAAAATTAAAAGAAAAAAGTTGATGCATTTCAAATACTTTTCCAAAAATTTGACAAATAAAACTTGCTGAAATTGACTGTAAAAAAAAAAACTTTTTGATTTTAATTGTCGCAATAATGTACCTAGAAAAATAGCTTGACAAACTGTTTCACGAACAATACGATGCGTTGTTACAGTTGCAGAATGTCCACGTTCTGTTACGGATACGGAACCCTGTCGTCCGGAAACATCTATAATCGTTGAACCTGTAGGAGAAAAGAAGAAAAAAAAAGACACTTTAATAAGGCATCTTTCATTTATTAGAGAAATTGTAATTGTGAAATTAAAAGTTTACAAAAAAATTAAATTAATAAATTTCCGATTTTTATAAATTCTAACTTAAAAAAAACGAGTTATTATTTTCAATTTAAAAAATAAGCATCAAATATCCCTATATTTAGTAATGATTCATAATCAATATTATCGTATTGTTGCAAATTATAATTAGTACCAAAGTACTGCTACAAACCTATAATTAGTATCACAGTACTATTGGAAATTTATAATTGATATCACAGTAGTGTTACAATCTTGAAATTAATGCCAGAGTACCGTTGAAAATCTATAATTAATACCACAGTATTGGTACAAATTTATAATTAGTGATACGGTACTGCAACAAATCTATGATTAATGCTACAATACTATTACAAACCTATAATCAGTACCAAAGTATTGCTACAAACCTATAATTAATGCCATAATACTGTTGAAAACCTATAATTAGTACCACAGTACTCTGCTACAATCCTAAAATCAGTGTCATAGTACTGTTGTAAACCTATAATTAGTACCATAGTATTGCTATGAATTTATAATTAATGTTACAGTACTGTTACAAATCTATAATTTATTCTAAAATATTGCTACAAATGTATTATTTAAGTTATTTTTTTTCAGATTATTAAACTAGTAAAAGAACATTTTACCATGAGTATTAGATCCTCGTATTAAAGTAGATGCTAAATTTGAGCTCATTAATGGTGCGACACTTTGCCGTGCTAATGGTGGATTAATACCATTTTGCATCAAATTTAAGCAAAATATTAAATCTTTCGTTTGAAATTGTGGCTTTTCTGTAATATAAATAATCGATGAAGTGTTTATTTTCAAGTCTAAAATAAAGGAAAAGTTTATTTTAAGTCCAAAAATTGCTCATTGTCGCAGAGAAATAGCCTTATTAATATGTATTATAGATGTAATTTAATTATTAAATTAATTAGATATATGCTATAATTGTGTTACATTTATTACATCATTATGCATAATTGCTTAATTTAATGTTGCTTAATTTTGGAATTTGAATTAAATCTA